GGGGAAAACCTGATCTGCCCTTGTATTAGTTATTTAGGCTCATAGAACTTCAACTGATATATAGAGCTTATTTAAAAAAAAAAATAGAAAGCAAGCATCACTGAAGATTAGAACTTTCAAACAGGGGCTAGGTAAATAACATTCCCACAGACTTGTTAAAAATCAATAGTCAATGAGGCAGGTGAGGTATTGAGGGAGCTCATGACAAGGAGAAATAACCATTAAACTTCATGGATACTTGTTTAGAAGCAATTTTCCTGTGCCAATAGCTAGAAAGGGTACTTAAATGAGAGCTCACTTGTCAAATATTTGCACAGAATAAACCTCAGTTCAAAGCATTTGAATGTATGCTTTGCTTTAAATACAGTAATAATCCCACCTCTATTTGACCAAATACTTAAAGTCATGCTGTGCTGAACCATATCTCATCTGTCTCTTGAGATTCTACAGTAAAACTTGTTGTTTTGCATCTCAGCAGCAAACAAAGTGATTCCTATATATGGCTTGTTTGTAAAACATTTTGTCAAGTAAATGGATCTTGAGCAACTGCATGTTCTCATAAAGCAAAAACAAACAGAAAAAACTCCACCCTCTTTCTGAATGTGAGTGACAGTAGACAAACAACAAACCGAAGCAAGCTAGACTACTGATTCCTCTGGGAAACACAAGCTTGTTTCCTACAGCATCAAAGGCTGTGGACATTTCCTGAGCCTGTTGCTGGGCTCATGCTGCTAATAAACACTCTGATGGTGCAAAAGTAGATGCCCTGGTGCTGATTCAAGAATCAGCCCCTCAAACAAGTATCTGAGAATAGGCTGGTGAAAATGCCTAACGCTTTCCTTTCTGTTTTTCCGAATGATTTTGCTGCTCCTGCCTAAGCTTGTGATAGAGATATTTTTCCTTCTGTAGACAAAGACCCATTGTTTAATGCTTCTGAATGCTATGACAACTAGAAGGGTGAAAGGCAACCTGCAAGTGACAGTAAATGCATTCTCTCTCTTTTTTAATATCCAGTGTGTATATCTGTAATGCACTGTTCAGCATGATTCTCCAAGGCTGCTTCAACAGACAGCTAGGAAAGTCAATCCACTGTCAAAGCAATAGCAGCTTTTGCTCTTCACTCAGAAAGTTTTGGTTTCACTGTTTCTACACTTTCTAAGGATACAGTAGCTGCAGCCAGTGGCACAGACTGACTGATACGGACTGAATGAAAAAAATAATATATGTTGTTCTACCCAACCAACCCGAATGGAAAAAATATATATATATTCTCCTATCCAACCAACCTTGCTTTTGCTTGCTTCTGATTTCACTTTCCAGAGCTTGGCTTAACAAATCCAAGTAGCCTTCATACTGCTGCAGAGGAACATTTCCTGCCCAGTCAGCTGAGCTAGTTTCACATCTTACTTATTAAACTTATAATACTCTCTGTGCACAACCAAAACAGAAGGCAGATGTTTGATAAATATCTAGTCTGGGTGGGAAGAAAGAACATGATGTCAAAGGAAGCAAAGCAGAACCTTTTCATTTCTCCTATTTAAAAAAAAAAAAAAAAGCATCAGTTTGGCATTTGCAGCTGAAATATAGATTGCATTACGCAAAGGTGTGCCAGACTCCACAAGTTTGCAATTGGCTTTATTTTGGTTTTGGAAACATTTTGATACTGATACCTATCTCAGTCTAGTAAATTTGACAGCATCGCTTAGCTAGATAAACTGCTGCTACCTTGCAGGTCACTAGATGCTGATGAGGAATATTTAAAAAATTTTTAATGCAGACAGTGAAGCTGCAGACCTTGCTGCAGTTAATGAGTGAGGGAACACTTGCTGCTCCCTGACATTCCTTTCAATTCTGCTCACATCACATAATCTCAGACAGCACAAATTACCATCAGTGAGATACCAGGAACGCCTCAAAAACCACCATGGAGTTCAGAATGAGAGGTGGAGGCTGAACAGCAACTCTACGCGATCCCTCCAGGATGTAGCTTTAATTAACAAGTTAATATCTAAAGAATGTCAGGTTGGTTATTTGAAGGAAAAACGTCCAACCGGGATCCTAGAAACAGAACCCATTTTGAATTGTATTCCTTTTTACACAGCCTGGGTGCAGCAGAAACAATAAATGGCCAGAAGGGAAAAATATTCCTGAGATAAAAAGAAGCCGGCTGCTCTCTGTTGATCCTTTGGCACTGTGCCTATCAGTATTTGAGAAGAACAAAGCTGGGAAGAGAGATTCAGCACTGATAAGATGTAGTCACTCTCTCTGAAGTACTTGCACCCAAGAGCCCAGTAGAAAATCATCACTTACACACAAAGCCTTCAGCCTGAGAGGGAGACAGAGCCAGACAGGGAATGAGAGGCCAAGCCCGTGACAGTTGGATAAGATCAGTTTGTCTGGTTAGGAGGGGAACTGGAAAAACAGAAAAAAATATTAAGTGATATCTTTTGTTATAGATTTTGAGGGGTGGGTAACAGAGAAACCCAGAAGAGAAGGGACAACTCTTCTGCATCCTACAGACCCACCTGGAAACTCACAATGGGAATTCTCAGGTTTGCCCACTCTAAGACATTCCCAATGGCTTAAAGCCAAAAAACCTCTCTCTTTTCAGGAAGTTTCTCTTCTCCATTTCTTCATGCCTGCACATATTAAAACACCCCAAATAAGAAATATTTTAAGTGCTGACAAACTGGAAAGCATACAAAGAAGAGCAAGAAGAAATGAATTATGAGTGCTGGAGGGACTCACTCGCAAGGAAAGATTAGAAGAACTAAATATGTCTAGCTTGGCAGAGAGATGACTAAGCAGGGGGGAAGTGATAAATGTCTACAAATATTTGAAGGGCGTATACACTGAGGAGGCAGAGAGATTTTGCAGTGTGAGCCATACCAGGTGGCGGGATTAGGAGCAAAGGGATGGAATCAGAAAAGGAAAAAAAAAAATCTCAAAGCAAAAATTCAACTGAAGACTAGATGAACAAAAGTCCCCATGAAAGTTATATATATCCACATCCCCCGTGCTGTGGATATGAAATTTTCTCAGAGGTAGAAAACTCGGTATATAAGACATATGGGAGGGCTGAGTGCTTTGATGCACACAGAACTAAAGGAAAGAGTTGAGCCTGGATACTGGAAGACCAATGGGAGCCTCAGCAGAGAGCAGGTGTCCCATAAACACTGCCAATTAGAGGGAATCAGACAGGAAGTAAGGTAGTCATTGCATCCAATTGAAATCTCAAGGGAAAGGTAGGTTTGGAGTAATTTAATGACCCTGAACTTGGTAGAACTACAGGACTTCATCTGACCAGATATATTCCAGCCAGGTGGTTCCTGGGAAGCAGAAACTTTTGGGCCTGGGAAACATTCAAAAAGATGGTTGTGGAAAGTTTGCATGATCAAGACAGAACACAAAAACATCTAAAACCTTATCAGACTAAGAAGGTGAAAGGAAACAGAAAGGGGAGAACACGGCTCTTCCCTGGCTTAGTTTCTGATGCAGAGCACCTTGAAAAGTTATGGGCTGAACCTAGCCAACTCCTCATTAAGGGTAAAACAAAAAAAAACAAAAAACACAACTTTACTTCCACTTTTAGCTATGGAGGATTCCATCCATTGGCACAGACATTCCCCTAGTACAGCACTTCAAGCCCACTCCTACTCCACAACATCCATCCACGAGCAAGTGGGAAGAATAGGCAATCCAAAGGCCACCTCCCACTGCATACCATTGAATTTCATACTCTAGACCTAAGTGAGCTTTACTCTAGCCAGGACATGGATCTTAATTGCTTTTGAGGCTTGGATGAACAGCAGCTCCTCTTGTGAATACACGAGATGCAGACTTGTATTTTTGTCTTAGAACTGTGTCCCTCAAACCCTGTCTACAGCAGTCATCTGTTTTGCTTGAGAAGCTGGTATGTGAAATGCAATAAAAGACTTCGGTTCCCTCCTTAAGAGATGCATCTCCAGTGTTAAACCTCTCCCTTGTACAGTCTTGTGCAAATGAGGTAAAAGGAATTCCCACAAGTCTGGATACAGGAAACACGCCAAAGCCCTTCTCTTTAAACTGGATTTGATTCAAAATTTGATGGGAAGCCACAGTTCCAGTTTGGGCTTTTAGGGTGTTCCATGTACCTAACAGAAGATTGAAATGATAAAGTCCCATGCTTTTGGCAGGCAACTCTCTGCAAATTGTGTGATACGCATCTGTTTGGCAAGTAGAGCTCATTCTATTAATGCTGTGCTTTTGTAGGAGAAACCAAGAAGAAAGGATACTTGACCAAAGCAACATCTCATACTGTTGATTGTTATCTAACAAGCCACTCAATTAGGGATACAAATAGGGTAGCTGGAGGTCACAGCAGCTTGTCTGGTGGATCAGCCCAAGCACACAACAGTACCATAAAGGAAAAAAACACTCCCCTCCATCTCTGCGAAAAACTAGCACATTGTGAAGCCTGGCCCTCCACTCTTGGAACAGCAGCACTAAAAGCCTCAGCACAGGGACCATCCCCACTACAGCTGGGAAGAGTACAAACAAAGTTGAAGGTGGTAGAAGCAGAGAGAAGGCTTTCCAGAACTGCAGAAACTGAAATCCAAACCCAAAGCCAGTCATTGTTTCCAGCAAGCCAAAACAACTGCATAAAAGAAGCTCTTAATGTAATTCCCACCAGAAATTACACTGGAAAGCCATCACAAGGTCATCCCACCACAACAGAGTTGGCTGCCCAACAAATAGATTCTTATCATCTGCAAGAATCCATTCTCAGAGCTCCTTGGTTATGAGCCAGCCCTAGGACAGAGCAGCTGCGATGGCCTTTACGTGTGGAAGCAAGCATGAGACATCCCAAGGCAAACGCAGGGAAAGAGGTGATAACAGATAGGCTCTTCTCTCTGCTCTCCCTAAACACACAATCCTCCCACTAACAAAAAGAACGAGGGACCTCAGCAGAGCTATTACGCAGCTCCTGCTCTCTTTAATGGGATGAAACAACAACGTACCTCTGTCCGAGCGCGGCACTGCCTGGACCCGGCGGTGAGCCTGCTGCGGAGGCAGCCTGGTTTTCAACTCCTCAGGAAAAAGCAGCAGCTACTGTTCAAGAGTCAGCTGAGCCACTTTCCAGGCACAGTCTTGGCACTCGTGGCAGTGCAATTGTAATGGAAGACCCAGGCTCACGATCACAAAAGAACAGCAATTCCAGTGTCCCAGCATGGCTGTAGCAAGCATAGTGCTGTTGCAGCTCTTTTTATTAATTAACCAGATGTTTAACTTCAGCATCCTGGATAAAATCCAGCACAGAGAGCTACATTTCCCTTCTCTACCTCTCCTTAATTCAACAGCCTCAGCCAGAGCAGCTTTCCCCTCACCCCGCTCCTCGTGCAATTGCTGCAGAGCAGGTGCAGGGCATCACCCCAGAACGAGCTGCAGGTGAGAAACCACCCCTCAGCCGGCCTGACCCAAACTCATGTGGGCCCTACTGTGTAAGCATAAGGCACAATCATCTCTGCTCTCCACATGGAATCACTTTATGGAATTTATTATTATTATTTGGAGCTCAAATTGAAACCCTCTGGCCACGTACGAACACTAAGCCTGCTTAGGGAATGCAGGAAGCAGCTAAAGTGGTGAAGAGGGAAAGATTTATGACAGACAGAAAAGAAATTTTCTTTTCTTGTGAGAAGCTTCACATTCCTAATCTATTTCTGCTGTTCTTGCTACTCTCTACCAAACTTCTGACAGGTCTTATAGACTAACACTTACCATGCTGCAAGCTGTTCCTCTAAATCCTATTTTATCATACTTTATAACCACCTGGCTAGATTCCCTGGGTGGTATTTCTCACTCCTTCTTGTAGTCCCTAACAGTATCTGTATTGCCAACACCATAACCTCTACGTTCATTACCCCTTTCTTCCCTCCAGCAGCATTTCAGCTCTTCCTAACCCCGGGCTTCCCTTATCTCTTCCTGGGGAGCTCCCACCCATGTGATACACATTCAAATCATCACATTAATGAGACAGATGGACAACAGTTTTCACCTGTCTTCCAAACAGGCTTGAAACCTCACCTCCCTCCCTTTGCTTCAACAAAAAAGATCTTCTGTAAGATCTTTGGAAAAGTGTTTCTTCCCCTAATAAAATGATACGAGGTGAGGATTTAAAGGGAGATCTGTGAAAGGAAAATAATAGCAGTAACAATGAGAAGTCTCTCTGAAATTGCCTTTCTGAAAGCTCCAAATGGTTTTCTAACAGCACAAAAGTGCTTCCTGATTATTCCTGAGCTAAGGCTCAGGAAAGTCCTACAGGTGGACAGAAGAGTGGACAGCATGGATGTCACCAACTGAACATGAGCATTTCTAAAGGACTGGGGGGAGGATTTATGAAAGCCTTCAGGAAGGAGGCAGGGGGAAACTGGTAGAAACGCTCACCACCCTCCCAGTGATGCTGGAGCAGCCCAAGAGGACCTCGGGGCTCCAGTTTTCCCCCATGCTGAAAACTTTTATATATTCCCCATGGTGGTTAGGAGGCAGACTCTTAGTCCGTAGGTCCCTGTGGGCCTCCCTTATGATCTTCATCAAGGTTTTGCAGCAGAAGTTTCAACCAGGACTTTGCAATTTCCCTCCCTACCATCTGACACGTCTCCTGCCTTGCAGTGACTTGTCCTTTCAGATCTTCCTCTGGTTAAATACATGGGGCTCACCCCTAGACCTCGAGAGAACATGAGGGGAAGCCCTGGACAGATGCCAGCAGTGCCGCTTGTCCCCATCTCTAGAGCCAGCGGCACTCACTTGCAGGAAGGAGAGCTGCTAACACGAACCTCATGCTGTGTTCCCATGGCAACCCAAGTGTCACGTTCATCATCGTCTCATGTCTAGCAAAAAAAGATCCAGGTCCAATGAAGAGAAATCCAGGAGCACCAATGGGCTTTGCTGGGGCCTGGAGGTTTTTAACAGCATTGCTTGCACTGTTCAGCCTGGGGCTGCTGGGGAAGGCAGCACCCAGCTCAGCGATGGCACCGAGGTTTGAGCAGGAGGTTGTCTGGGATTAAAATGCATCCAGTCAGATACATACAGTTCATGTCTCATCTGCTTTGTCTCACTTTGAAGCTGGCGACACATGATCAAATTACCACGGCTATAGAAGTTACTAAATGTTAGCAGAAGAGGTTTCAGCATCACCTCCCCTATCTCACATGTGACATGACCTGGGGATAACAGTTGCTATCACTTAGCTTTGCTCAGTGGCACACAATGACTTATTAAACCACATTAATTTAATAATATGGTTGAACTCAGAGTTGCCCTGCTCGAGGCAGGAGGGAACTTTGTGTGCGTCAATTCCCTCCCAGACTCAGGGAGCTGCCACAGCCTCATTGTCCCATGCTGTTCTCTGCTGACATCTGTGTCCCAGAAACCAGACCCAGCTGGGCTCCGACACTTCCACTGGCAGGAATCCATATGAGTTTCTCCACTGTGATGACACAGCAGCAATTAGAGCATTTCCATGCAGATTTGTACATAGGGGAGCTCACCTTCCAGTTCTGAGACAAACGTGCTACAAAAGCCAGTCTGGAGATGCATCACTGGCCACTTTTGGAGCTCTCTGATGTGTTCTTGCTGGAGGCATTAAAAGATCTAAGGCTGGAGGATTCATTTCAATCTCTTTAAAATCAGTTCCCCTGATGTGTTGTTTTTACTATGAAAAAAAAAATAATAAAAGAGGAACTTTTAGCCTAAGAAACAGAAAGGGGAGATTTTTAAAATGACACTTAGGAGAAAATCATCCCTCTGGAAAGGAAGATCATGCCTGTGCTTGAGAAGAAAAGGGGTAGGGAAGCGTGAGGGGAATGGCAGCATTATGCAGAGAGTCCCTTGATAAGGCAGAGATAAGCAATTTTTGCACAATTTTTTCACAGTGTGTCTACATCCCCACACTGAAGCATGATTTCAACATGGTGCAAAACTTAGGTGAGTTGGTATCACAATGTTGACTTATAAATCAATACCCATCAAAGAGAAATATTTATTGATAGAAAAAAGCCACTTGGAGGTGGAAGATGTGTAAAGGGCTCCCAAATGCAAAATGTTAGCGAAGTTGCTATTAATCCTCAATTTTAATTCTCAGATTTATTTGATATGATTTGGTTTTCCCTCCCTGAGCAGCTTAGCTGGCCCAGCAGTGCAGTGTTCAAGTCAGATTTATACCTGTAACTGGGGCAAGCACTTCAGCTAAGAGGTTGCTCTTATCTAGAGCAATCTCTCCCTCCTTAAAGACCGGACAGAAATCTCATGCAGGCAGTCTTTCATGAGAGAGATAAAGAGAAACTGCTTATATGCACTTACACATGCTTTTATGGAAGAAGAAACTAGGGTTTAAGGATGACAAAGGTCAAGGTAGGTGGTTCCAGGGATGTAATGAAACTCCTGGCCTCCACATGACAGCCTACAGGAAAGTGTTCGATATTGTCCGACAGACTAAGCCCTGGACTTTCATCCAGGGGATGAGTTCTCTCCTAGGTCTCTGGCTGATTTTTAGCATCACCTGGCTCAAGTCTCTCAGCCATTTTACACCTTTGCTCACCTTTTGGGAAACCCTCTGCACCCAAGAGATGATCACTCCAGTTGTTTCCATTGCCCACACCACAGCTCTGAGCGGAGGAGAGACAAACAAGTTTCAAAGTTTCCTGTTTCCTTTCTGGACTAACCCAAGCTAGCAATCAGCTGTGGCATACAGATGGAAACACCTGAGGGGCCATTGGGGTTCAGCTGGGTGTCCTGTTATTCCACTGATAGGCTGGAAAACAAACAAACAAAAAGAAAAACCACGACCCTCAACGTTAAGTGATGCAGAGGAGTCCATTAGCCTGCAAGGGCCTGAGATGACAAATAAAATAGTTCTGGCCAGCCTGAACTAAACACAGTAGTGTGCTCATTCCTGCCTTGCTGAGGGGCATTTCTGCAGAGCAGATGAGCTGTTCTGGCAAGGAGAGTACCTGTGCCCCATCTTTTCCCCTCTGGAGCAGCCAAGTGGGGGTGAGAGCACCTAATGAGGGAGGTCTGCTCGCTCCCTCGACTGGCATCCTGTACAGAGGCTGCTGGGGAGCCGTACCATGCCAGCCAGGTTTTTGCAAGCATGTGAAAATTAACAAATCTCACTCTGAGCTGGAAAGGGCAGATAATTGAGAGAATTAAAATTAAAAAAAAAAAAAAAAAAAAAAAAAAGGAAAGAAAAAGAAAGAACAGGGAGAGCCAAAAGGAAACACTTCAAAGGCCCATAGCCTGCAGCCCTCATTAATGACAACAACAAAAAAGAAGACGGCAACCTTACATTTTAATCAAAAGCAATTATTTTTTCAAAAAGGTATTACGACTCTGCAGTGCAGAAGCAGACCTGGCTGCAGCCCCCTACCCACCAAGGTGTCAGGTGGAAGACAGAAGTGGGGTTTCCTTGGTCTTCTGCTTTCTGCACTGCCCAGGAACAGCAGCAGAAGGAAAACATGAGTGAACGGGTGTTTCGGGAGAAATGCCTCTGGGGAAGAAGATTGAAAGCTACAGGAAACCAAAGACATTAGAAACATGACTGAAATCTAAATCCCAGCTTCCTCTGGCTGGTATCTGTACGAACGCTGCGTGTAGGATGTTAACTAGGAACACAAAGGCAGCTGAATCAGTGGGAGGAGGCAGCAGGTAGGCAGTCCCAGGGCACTGGGGCAGACACGAGAGGGGCATCTACCTGGATAGATTCAAGTGGAGGAGTCCAGATTGCAGGTATGTAGAGTGACTCGGATATATATGTATAAATGTGCAGGTGTGTGGGACAGCAAGGCTAGAGAGGCTAAATGTGACCTCGGCAAAAGCCTAAGGAAGATGCTTGTCTCTAATCTGTCCCCTCTGTTCGGTAAAGAAATCCTTGTCCCCACCACTGAGGCCAGACAAATACTCACCTGCAGCCAAAGGGACCAGGGGTCGTCACAAGAAAACTGTGTGGAGACCAAAGCAAGGCTTTTCCTGTGATATGTGATATGTGTTTGGCTGTTTGTTCCCCAGGGCATCTTTGTGAAGGAAGGGGTGAAAAAATGGAAAAAGGAGAGGAGTTTGAGCAGCACAAAACCTGAGTGAGGAAGATCAGAACGGCGCTCGGTGTGTCAGAGCCCTCAGAATGAAGAACCTGTCCCCAGGAAATGCCATGTAATTGTTTCAATTAGTATAAGAGAAGAGACAGTGAAAAAAGGAAAAGAGTTTACAAAGGCAAAGCTTCAATTAAAATAAAAAACAACAGAGAAAGATAGGAGAATTATTTATGAAACGCTGACTTATTTACATAAAAGGAAGAAAAAATATGTGTGTTTAGTTGCAGTCAGAAGCTGAATTTCTGCATGGGCTTTTCAAGGCAGTGCCACATGCAGCCATAGCTTGTGACTCTGCAAAATTTCCATAATGGCACACAAAAAAATGAAGACCAGAAACAGCTGCATCTGGATTCAATCTCTCAAAATATTAAGGCCTGTGTTTAGGGAGCGAGACAATGAGGAGCTGTCATATTTGGGTGGAAGAGTCATAACCTGGAGGAAAAAAATAGTTGAGGCAGCTCTTCCCCCCCCCAAAAAAAAAAAGAAAGAAAAAAGGTACATTCCTGTGGGTGGTAAGATGCAGAAAACAGCTTGCAAAAGGAGAAATCCAATTTCTAATACACATTAGAAACTGTTAGGCTATTTTACTTAAAAACATCCAAGACAGTATGCCACTCAAAAACCCTAAGGCGGAACAACGGGGAAGATTTCACATGTATTGTCTACCCAGACTGTTCAGGATTTTCAGAGGCACGTAGTGATTTTTGATAACACCCGCAGCATTACTACAGCGTGGGCACTTTCCATAAACAAAACTCTTAGATTGTTGCAATTGTAGGTAGTTAG